TTATGTTATCACCTTATTTTATTATATTATTATTTCTATTATATATATATGTCTTATCGTTATTATAATAATATGATTATTTTTAATCATTGGTGCCACTGGTAGGGCCTGTCTTTGATATGATCTAAATTATGTCAGTGGCAGGGTAAAGCATTATGATAAGTGTTGTCAGTAAAGTAGTTCCTGGACATGACTGTACTGTATCGTGACGTGATTGGCTGGTTTCAGACATCCGCACCCAGGAGATAGTGCGGGGGAGAAGCATCAACCTGGCCCTGTCCTGTCGCGGCAGGGAGGCCTTGAAGGGGGTGGGGCTCGAAGAGACAATTGTGAAAAACGGAATTCCCATGCATGCCAGGATGATCCATGACCGAGATGGGAAAAGACGACCGATTCTCTACGGGACCCGCGATCAGGTAGGTGTGCTTGTTTGTCTGTTAGTGTGAGTTTGTTTGTTTGTGTTGTGAGAATTTGTCAGTGAGTCAGTGGAAATGAAAGGACTAGCCAGTCATGTAAAGTCAGTGGTAGGGAAAAGACTTCCCAGTCATGAAAGTCAGTGGTCTATCATCTATGTTACTATAAATGTTTCATGTGTCCATCAACACAGTTTAGATTGTGGGTGGTTGGCGGGTGCTCTGGTGTGGTTTGCTTTTTCTTTCCTATCAAACATCTATCGTCCTTATGTCCCCTCCTTCTTTTTGTGTTTGTCACTCTCTTGTAACACTTCTAATCTTCTGCACTTATATGACCATATTGTGTTGCAAGTGCCGTAAAACTCTTACTAAAACTAAAACAGTTTAGATTATCTAGGAGGTGGGCTGCTTTAAATAGGCTGTGTGGGAGACCACATCCCAGCAGACAGACAGACAAACGGACGGATGGGCGGACAGACAGACAGACAGACAGACAGACAGACAGTCAGTCAGTCAGTCAGTCAGTCAGACAAACAGATTGTTGTGTAGTGGGTCAGTCCTGTATGTGTGGGACACCACATCCCAGCAGACAGACAGACAGACAGACAGACAGACAGACAGACAGACAGACAGACAGACAGACAGTGGTAATTCATATAAAAAAAGAACTTCCCCACTCAGAAATAGAACTGACTTTTTTGTGTGTGTAACAGGGACGAGCCTAACCACTATGCCACAGACCAATGATATAGTAATGACAATCTGCTTCTTCATGGGTCAGGTCTGGAGCAGTCTTATATGACCATATTGTGTTGCAAGTGCCGTAAAACTATTACTAAAACCAAAAGACATTGGCGGTCATGGTACCCCGCTATTGTTTGTTGAACAGTTGTTCAGGCCATCTGTGTACGTTCTTCTTTGCCTTCCTCTGCTCTTCTTTCCCTCTGTCTTTCCACACAGCAGCAGTTTCTCCAGTCCATTTGATCTCTTTCCCTCTGTCTTTCCACACAGCAGCAGTTTCTCCAGTCCATTTGATCTCTTTCCCTCTGTCTTTCCACACAGCAGCAGTTTCTCCAGTCCATTT